GGAGGGGGAGGCGTTGGGCAAACGGCGGGGTTTGCGCGAGGACAGGCGCTTGCGCGTGCGCGCAATCCAGAGTGTGGTGGGGGGGCGGAGGAAGCAGTTCGGACTGCGGGAGGCGCACTGCGCAGGCGTCGCGGGCTTGCGTGTGGGGGGCAGGCACGCGGCCGGGCCGGTTTTTTTTCTCTCTTTATCATTTTTCGTCTCGCCCCGTGCGCAGGCGCAATTTTCCTGCTGCCCTCGTGGGCTGTTAGGGGGTCGTCTTATTAGCGGGAACCGGTGAGAGGTGGACCACGTTCTCGCCTGAGTGGGGAATTTCGTCTGACCGCCGTTTACTCTCTTTAGCTTCAAATTTTGTCTCCTTGGATAAAATGATTTATTTTCGGAGATGACGCCGAGAACAAAATATGTCCCCCTTTTTTGACTGTTGATAAGGTGAAGATAGCTTTGTTTAGCTTTTGGGGGTTGAGCCAGGCTTTGGAGCCACCATCCCAAGTTTGGCTTTCATAAACCAGAGTATTACCCTAATTACGTTTCTATGGGAGAAAGGATCCAACCTCTATTTTTCCACTCCGAAAAGACCACCAGTTGTTACTTTTGGCCAGGAGCCCAGCCCCCTAGTCCCAATAAGTTCTTAAAATCTTCCAGTTCCAGTATTTCCAGGGTTAAGCAGCTAATTTAGTAGTATTTTAATCTTTGTTAGTTTTCCACATGTTTGAAAGACCTCTTAACTTGAATACTTAACATGTCTTTGGAAGGTGTTAGGATTTCCATTTACAGAGAGAATGGGCAAGATGAGATGATCAGGTCAGTTAGGTCACAGAGCTGATGAGGGCCAGGATGGGAACTCCAGCCGGGAAGCTGGGAATCACTGGGAGGGTATGCTGCCTGTGGTTTGTGAAGTTCACTCCTGAAATAGAATCCGATTATAAGCTCCTCCTCCCCCATGGGCTTCTGCCGGGGATGCTCAGCCAGGAGCTGGGCCCACAGCCCAGGAGAGGTGGAGGAGAAAGTTACTTTCCTCCTGGTTCCTGTGAGCGGAAAGATACCTACCCACCCCGGCAGCCCTCTGGTTCTTAAAGGTACAGGTTAGAGTTCCTTTCTCTGAAAGATCTGCACCAGTTTTTCCTTACTCTGGACTAGGCAGTATTTCCTAACACAGATCTTGGTGGGAGATTGATTTGAGACCAGAGGGGCCAACTGGCCTGGCTGCCACTGCTTCTCAGCACATGTTCTTTTTGCTCCACCCATACCAAGGGTGAGCAGTGGGGAATGGTCATGCTTGGCTAGGTAACAGTTGCTCACTCAGCCAGTGAAAGGGCAGAAACTGGGGGCACATGCAAAGGGGAGTGTCATTGATTGCAGCAGAAACGCTTCTTGCCAGCATATCCCTTTCTAAGCTGCTCTTTCCCATGAGTCCTGATTGACCTGTGGAAAGAAAGACGGGCTCAGGAGGAATATAGGATTTGAGACTTAACTAGTCCTTTCTCCATTCTGCCTTCCTCAGAAACTACAGCAACTTCCTATGGGCAGGTGGCCACTCACTTCGTGGCCATGCTCTGCCGGTCCAGAATCCCTTTGAGGTGATTGGCTTGAATTGCTGTCCCTTATCTGCTCTGTGCATCCTAGGTGTCACCGAACTGTCTTATCTGACTGGACTTCTGACAGCACAGAAGTCAGTGGTTGCCATCTTGTACAGTAGAAAATGAAGCCTTGTTTCTGCTTCCTTTGTCAGGAGAACTACGATGACCCGCACAAAACCCCTGCCTCCCCAGTTGTCCACATCAGGGGCCTGATTGACGGCGTGGTGGAAGCTGACCTTGTGGAGGCCTTACAGGAGTTTGGACCCATCAGGTACTGGGCTTGGAGGCCAAGGCGTGGGTTTCCAGAGAAGTCAACTGCTTGGCTCATTATGTGTCAGTGGTTTTTGGTTGGGAGTGGTGATTTTGCCATTCTGGTCCAGGGCCCTTTGCCTAGTCCTGCAGCTCTTGCACTTCTGGGGTTGGCCATTATACTTTGGGTCAGGTTGTAGCAGGTACCACATCGTTTTTTCCTTTCCTTCTTCCTCCTTTGCCTTAACAGTTTCTAGTCAACATTCTTTTTTTTTTTTTTTGAGAGGTTTTTGCTACAGGGTCCATGCACTAGCCAGAAAAACAGAGACAGAGAGACAGAAAGTGAGAAATCACCCCCTGAGGGATGGCCACACCGCAATCCCTTCTCCTCCGTTCTCTTCTTGGGATCTTGGGCACGCATGCATGCCCGCCTGGTGTAAGTTTAAGCCACTGGGTCCGGGACTTGAACCACGGTCGATGTTAGGAGAGTCCAGCGACAGCCATTATGCCACCTGCTGGTTCCCAACATTCATTTTATTCAGCAGTTTTGTTTTTTTAAATAATTATTTATTTATTCATTTTAATTTTTAATTTGACCAGAGGGAGACACAGGGTGAGAGTGAGAGAGAGGAAGTGAGAAAGCAAGCCACCAGATTCAGGACTCGAACCCTGGTTGGCCATGTGGGAGTGTCCAGCACCCTAACCACCATGCCACCTGCTGGTCCCAATTCAGCAGTTTTTTGGTTTGTTTTAGTTTTTGTTACAGGTCTCATGCTTTCCATAGACAGAGATAAAGTAAGAAATCATACCCATCTCACCCTGGGAAGGGGCAGCCACAATCCCTTCTTCACCCTCAGGATTTGGGACACACATGTACATGTACCTGGCATGTTTTTCAAGCCACTGTATCCAGGACTAAATTGCATAGTCAGCCATGTGGGATCCAGCTATCTTTACCATGCCACCTGGCTGGCTCATTCAGCAGTTACTTACTGAGTAGTTGGCACATACTAGTTTATGGGAGTGTAAGAACGGACAAAATTTCTAGATTCTTCTCCAAGAAAGTTGCCCATCCAGAGTGATTAGTGCTCTAATAGGGTGAGTGTACGAGTCTATTGGGGGCATCTGACTGAGTGAGATGAGGAAGGGTCCGAAAGACTTTCTAAGAGGAACTGATAGCACAGCTATCTTTTTCTTGTGCTTCTTGCGGCATGGGGGTGCTAGGTCAGGAAAGCTTTCAGGTATTATAGGAGTCAGTTCACAGAGGATTGAAGGATAGTCACCTCTCGTCTCCATCCCCCTGAGTGGGTTGAAACTTGTGTTTTCTCTGCCAGCTATGTGGTGGTAATGCCTAAAAAGAGACAAGCACTGGTGGAGTTTGAAGATGTGTTGGGGGCTTGCAACGCAGTAAACTACGCAGCTGACAACCAGATCTATATTGCTGGTCACCCGGCTTTCGTCAACTACTCTACCAGCCAGAAGATCTCCCGTCCTGGGGACTCAGATGACTCTCGGAGTGTCAACAGTGTGCTTCTCTTTACCATACTGAACCCCATCTATTCCATTACCACGGTGTGTGCCAGTTGGCATCCTTCTAGGCTCCCCCACAAGATCTCATCCCTTCCCTTTTTCCCCTTCCCCAAGCTGTGTCTGCCAGTGCCCATTCATCTTGCCAATCTTTGCCTTTACAGGATGTTCTTTACACTATCTGTAATCCTTGTGGCCCTGTTCAGAGAATTGTCATTTTCCGGAAGAATGGAGTCCAGGCTATGGTGGAATATCCTTTGTTAGAAAATAGGTGTTCCCTGGGTGGGGGCTCTCACAGAGCCTGGCAGGGGGCCATTCTTCGAATCAGCATGTGTGAAACAAATGCCTGTCATGTGGCAGATGCCTTCAAGAGCCTATGGTCTGATGATGGTGGAGATAAGGGATCAGACATAGTGTGGTGCACGAACCTTTAAGCGAAGGGGGAGGGAGCGGTGCTGTGACGTACAAGAGGAGAGGAGCTTAGAAGTGGACCTGGGAAGATACCTGAGGGAATGCTGTCCTGTTTCCATGAGGAGATCACTGCTGTTTTGGAGGTAGAAGGAGGCAGCAGCTTCTGCAGAGTTCCTAAGATGAGCAGGAGCTTAGTGTCTGAGAAACCTGATCTGAGAACTGCAGAGCAGCTGAGAAGGGGGAGAGAGATTCATCATAGAGACTGGAAGAAGATAGGGCAGTGACATGATCAGTAGACAGCTTAAGACAGGTGGCTGGGGTTTAGTCAGCTGCATGAGATTAGGGAAGAAGGTGGTTGGCTTGGGTGGCAGCAGAGAAAGTTGCCTCCACCTCCAGGCTGGCAGCTTGGGTGCAGTGCAGAATATGAGAATTCTGGCCAGTGACTGCCTACAGGGGCAACCTCTAGTTCAGTACCACTGTTGACTTCTCCCCTGAGCATGATGGCTGTGTCCAGTGACTGGGCTCCAAGGCTACACATAGCATAGTCTTCAGGTACTGCTTTGTCCTCATCCCTCTCTGGGACAAGATGAAGGCCCTTCCTTAACTTCACCCACGTTTGACTCTGTGCAAAGTGCCCAGCGGGCCAAGGCCTCACTCAATGGGGCTGATATCTACTCTGGCTGTTGTACTCTGAAGATCGAATATGCAAAGGTAAATCTGGGAAGCAACTGTCCCTTGTCTGCTTCCACATATGCTGGGGTATGACTGATCTCGTGCTTTGTCTTGTTCTTACAGCCTACACGCTTGAATGTGTTTAAGAACGATCAGGATACTTGGGACTATACCAATCCCAACCTCAGTGGACAAGGTAATCCCAACGACCACTTTGTTCTAAACACACCTGCTCGCCTTCACTCGACTAGCGCACTTCATAGACCTGGGCTCAGGGTTATGTAATGCCATTGGGCTCCCTGTGGACATGGGAGGGCCTTGGGGTCACCTCTTGGGAAAGACCTCAGTGGGAGAGGGTAAATGAGGGGCCTCAGCAGGTCCTAGAAGTTGCTTGGGGCCCTCTTAGGCCTCTGAGAGTGTGGAGTCAAAGCAGAGGCTTGGATGGGATGGGGAAGCGGGGGGCCTCACAGAGGACCAAAGCATGGTGATGGCTGAGAAACCAGTAGCAGTTCCCAAGTGGAGTCTGCTGCTTTTCTTCTGGAGCCTGGTTAGGGACACTGGCTCTCCATTCTTGCTGCTCAGAAATGGTCCTCTTGTTCTCTACTGTTGAGGTTCTGATTGTGGGGTGATGGACTGGAGATGATTAGGATTCCTGGGCTCTTGAAGCAGAGCCTTTGGGCAAGCTAACCTTGTGGAGGTGAAACACTGGATTGGATCAGGGTGGAAATGCCTCACCTCATTTGTAGGGGGAACTCAACATCTCTGCAGAGGGCCCAGATGGACAACCCCCCTTCCTAGTGTGTGTCTCAAGAATGGTTTGCCTTTGGTAGGGGGGAGAGGTGCTGGATTACCTGTGAAAAAGAGCAGCACGCCCTCAGCGAGACCGTCTGTTTCTGTCTTGGTCTGCTACGCCGGGCTAGGCCATGGGCTGAGACGGGAGGCCGGTTGCTGACATCGCACAGGCTTTGGGAGGCCAGAGGCTCCTGGTCCTAGGCAGGCCTGTCCTGCCCTTGCAGCTGGGAAGGAGTGGGCAGGGTGGGCTAGACCCTCCCCAGGATCTCACAGTGGGCCCTGTGGGCCTGGCTGCTCCCTCCAAAAGTCAGAGGCAAATTGGTGACCAAGTGAATGTACCAGAGCGGGCAATGGCATTACATGACTGCTAACAGAAACATGGCAACCAACAATTTCTTCTCCAAGGAACATAAATAGAAGATGTGCAGACCGGCAGGGGCTAGTGGCAGGGGCTGGCTGTGCATTCGTTTTGATGCCTCTCAACTTTGGCCGCCCCAAGGCCTGGGGCCCAAAAAACGAGGGCTGATGAGGTAACCTGGAGTGAGGTCGGTGCTTCGCCACCCCCTCGGGAACCATACTTCAGCGGCTCTGCCTCTGCACATTGCTCACCAACACACAGGGTAGAAAACCACTAGCTCTTCTTGGAGAGAACAGAACATGCAGCCTCCACCACGTCCCCAGAAACAGCTGCAGACTTGAGCTCACTACATCAAGAACACCACACCGCGCTCCAAGGAACAGCTACAAGCACAGAGGCAGAGGCAGACAGAGACAAAGAGAAAGAGACGCAACATGGCAGCAGACACTGCTTTTTTATTAAACATTTAAAAAAAGGCAAAATCCAAGCAAACTTGAACCCGAGAATGTACACAGAAGTAGGAAACACAGAGAACAGCTCTCTCAGCCAGCCAGCGGTGCTCTTTTCGGAGAACGATTCATAGACTGAAGTAGATTCCATGGGCCTCCAAGACAATAGGATCCTCTCTCCATTCCTCGCCATATGGGTTTTGGTTTTTAAGTCCTTTGGTTTGGGGAGGGCCTTCTTTTTTCTTTTCTGTTTTGATATTTTTTCTGCAGTCACCGGCTGCCAACATAATCTGCACCAACTGGAAATCAGAAACAAATCCCAAAAAGAAAAAAGCTTAAACCACAACAACAAAAAAATCAAAAAAAAAAAAAAAAAAAAAAACTGACCTAAGACCAGACAGCCAAACAGCTCAGAGACACACAGTTACCTGCTGGTGGGTAACCAGGCGCGCTCCCAAGGCCAAAAGTGCGGGCATAGCGGGGCCACTGGCACACTTCATACCCAGGAGACACGCACATGGAGCGCTACACAGCCAGAAGCACCGCACTGCAGCACATAATGTGAGGAGGTGACAACATGGAGGGACACTACCCACTTCATACACCTTTATTTCCACTTTCTGATATCTTCTGAGGACAGAACATCTGTGAGCCATTTTGACTTAAAGCATTGACTTTTAAAACAATTCTTAAAAAAAAAATTGTAGCGGATGTGTGCCGTAACTTGTATTTATGACTGTAAAACCATGTGATGCAGGGTCGCAGTGTATGTTTGATGGGACGCCATCTTTCAGAACTGTGCTAACTCACTGTTGAAGCGTCCAATGGTAAGAGAAAATACAGATTTGTTTTTTGTGACAAATGGACATTGTACTCTGTACTTCTGCTGTAAGTAGCCCTTTTCCATCTTTGTAATGACTGGTTGTTGAAAACAAAACCCAGGCTAGGTAGCAAGAAAGGGCAGTGATTTCCAGCTCTGGGTTTTGGTATCAGCTAGACCTGGGTTCAATTCCTGACTTAGTCACTAACTTGTTTGTGACGTTGGGCCAAAGTGTTTTTCAGGTGCTCAGTTAAAAGTAAACTGCTCAATTTTCAATATTTGTAAACTGGGACTGAAATATTAAAACCTACCTCATAGGGTTGTTGTGAGGAATTCAAGAAGCTGTGATGTTTGTAAAGCACTTAGTCCAGTGTTTGCCATTTAAGTGCTAAATTAACGGTAGTGATTCTGAATTGCAGCTGGGGTTGGGAGGTGGATATGCGCCATTGTTGGGTCTGTGAATGTTGATGCCTTGTACATGACTGCATATTTGAACTGATTCTGCTGTTCCCCTGCTTGTGAACTCCTACAGTCCCTCTCCTTGGGCTGGATGTGATGGGGTGGGAGGGTGAGCGGGGTCAGGATTGAGAAAGAAGGGACTACTTAGAGCATCAGGTCTAGAACTCCTGGGACCTTGGGGCTTGAGAGCCAAGTTGCATCTTCCTTCTGCCTATAGTGGGGTAGTCTCCCTGTTCTCAACCCCTGCTCCCTTCACTGGGAGCTATTTTGGAAAGCTATTCTGGACTCTGTCAGCTTCTATAGCCACTATATCTTCCCCAGAGGGCCTAAGAGCTAGTCTTCCCACCAGGGCCAAGGCAAGAAAGCACACACAACCTGGCCTCATCTATTTTTATAAGTGCATTGCCGAAGTGAGCACAAACGTGACCTCATCCTCAACCAGAGGGCAGACACCAGTGACTTTGGTGTGTGCAGGAGGGGAAAGTGTCTTGGGCTTCATGCCTACCCTGGGTTGAGCTGTAGGAAGGATAGCTCTGCGGTCCTTGTAAGGAAAGGCAGAGGTTCACAGAACGGCCCATAGGAGCTGAGGGACGTTGAGATTAGCCTCTAGTCAGGAGGGAGACACTTCTCTTTCCATGTTAGACTCTTAACTGTTTTCTCTGTCCACAGGTGACCCTGGCAGCAACCCCAACAAACGCCAGAGGCAGCCCCCTCTCCTGGGAGATCATCCCGCAGAATATGGTGAGGGCAGGGGGTTCCCCTCCGTGGACTCCCGTGGCTCATGTGCCCCTGCCCGCCGCCCGCCGCGCAAATTCTCACCCGTCCTCCCTCTCTTTCCTTCCCATCCCCCAGGAGGGCCCCACGGTGGGCACCACAGCCATTACCATGATGAGGGCTAC